GCTGCGCTCCAGACCAGCTGCTCAAAACAAAGCCTACAGCCTCCACTGTGGCTCCCGTCCGCTCCCCTCTGAATCCCTTAGAGATCGTAGAGGGCATGCGGGAGATGATTAAATTCAAAGCAGCAAAACATACGGATCCAGGGTTTCCGCTCATATTACCACAGAATGTTTGGTAATATGAGTACGAAGATTGCATTTAGGACAAGTTTAAAGCAATAACAGGATGACAGAGAGATGAAGGGCTTTGTAATAATCAATTCTGAAGCTGTTAAGGATGCATACAGTAGGCTTCTCTAAATAATGACTCAAGTTCCAATTGGTGGAACTTGGGCCAGAACACATAAATGATAGCTTTGTGTTTTGCCAATAAGGCAACATTAATGCTCCATTATCACCAAATGAAATATGTCTTGTCTTCCTTTAAAAGCAGAACATTTTGGTTTAGACCCTACTTAACAGCTGTGATGCAGTTAGGATAGGAACAGACACATATTAATATGATTTGGCTTTAAGGATGAGTAAATTAATTGCATATGAAAGGACAGATAATGCTGAGTTTAAAGGGATCAAAGAGACAAAATATAAATAGAAAAGAAGAACAAGGTGCTTTCTATCAGCAGACGTGTAGCAATGTTGTATATTTATCAAGGTAGGTCAAGCTCTTGCATTTTTCAGAAATAGCATTGTCTTTTAAAAATGATCAGTACTGGATAAAGTTATTATTACATAACTTAAATAAAAGAAAAGGGGAAACTAAAAAACTGTTTAAAAATGTGATAAAGGCAAGGTGTGAAGATTCAATTCAATTCGAATTTCCTTAAAAAGGAGTCTGACCTCAGTAGGTTTATAAATGCTGACACAGCTCCTACGCTGGAACATGAACTGAGAAACGAGTGGAGAGCGGAACCAACAGTATCAAAATATCTTATGAAAACGTATCAGGAAAAAAGTCAAAAGGGGATGTATTGTATGTAAATATTGAGGAATTAAAGTTACAATTTCAAACTGGTCAGAAACAGCTTGAACAATAGGAGAATGGAGAGGTCCACATTGGTAGATGTAAGAGTAATGTATCTGACAGATGTCACCTATGAATATCACCTGTCTTCCCTTTACTGTTTCGCACACAGTACCAGGGGCACTGGAGAGAAGACAGTTTGGGGGTTTAGAACAGAAGTAACTGTGTTAAATAACAGTCTGGAACTTTGTTAAAGATAGGCTCTGTGTATGCGCCCTGATGCTCTGTCTCTCCGGTTCTTTTCCCTGAAAAGAGATCACTCAGGAAAAACGCTTTAAATAACACTTCATAACTTATATGTATATATTAACCAGGAGACATGACAACAGATTCTGATAGAAATTGTAATTTTACCCAGATCAGAGAAATTGCTTAAAATGTACAGAAGGCGGCTGCTTACCTCTGGGCTCACCTCTGAGGAAGTGGCCCCAATTAACAGTTAAAAGGGAATTTTATACATCTCCATTCTGCCACATCATCTTATTTTACATCATAGACATTCATGGATCCAGCCTTATAAAAATATTACACTTGTTTTTAGCTGAAGGACACCACTGTCATTCGATTTCTAAATCTTTGCCACGTGCGAATGACGATTATAATTTTATATCCAGACAGAGGAACTGTCCTAATTAGATTAAAATAGCAGTTCTGACACGCAACAGGCAGCCAATACCAAGGTGTAATAAACTCACACATCTTCAATGATAATTATCCTAACAATTGTTATAATAACATCTGTTAGAAATATCTGGCCTTTCTATGTTGTAGGCTGAGCTCACATGTGGCATTTCTTATCCAAGGCCCAGCTTTAGGTTTGTTGGATATAAACTAAACTAGATATATTCCATCCAGATTCACACTGCAGGTTGTATAAAATAAGGAGATAACTTGGTTTCCTTTCCAACCTATGTATTAAGTCCATAAGATCAGCAGAAAACTGTCCAGCCGTAGCAGAAGTAAGGATGGGATGGAAACAGCCGACCAACTGTGACCAGTGATTCAATAATGAAGTTAAAATTCAAACATATTATATTTGAATATTTCACAGAAAGTTATGCAGAAATCATGGGAAACAAAAAGTCCCAAGATGAAATATTCATATCTATGAATTCCATGTGCAAGAAATTCAAAAAATTGTTGGATAAAACCCTAATAACAGTAAAGATTATTTAGGTTGGCAATAGACAAGAGCATTTTAAGGAAGGGTAAAGCCTTTTCTTTAGGGTTCTAGAATTTTCTAAGCAATGTGTGATGGCTTTTATCCAAGGGAATGTCAAATCTTAGTATGGATGTTCTTTAATTTTACTCTGGGTTTGCAAGGTTGGAATTAAGATTTAAAAGGCAAGGAAAAGAAAACTACTTCACATCCTGTCAGCACCTGCTTGATTAGAATTAGAGGGTTAAAAGGAGCTGCCATTACAAACGTATTCTAAATGGATGGTTTCAGGTAACATTTTCTTTTGTGATGACGAGATTATAAAAATGTGGGTGAAAGCACTTATTTTGAAAATTCAGCCATTAACATTTACAATTTACATGAGCAAAAAAAAGTAGGAGAGAATAAAACTGTTAGGCAATAGGGTAATCCACATGCTAATGTGTGAATTATGTCCTGCACAATATATTGAATATTTCATAGAAAGTGTGGCTGAGGATCTGTACAAAAGTTGAAATATTAAGGTAGTACTATGAGCATGAATCACCTCATTTTAACCTGGTCAATTAGGATAAACTGATACGACACTGTACGAGACTCTCAGCTGTTCAAGTTATATAACTGATTGGGCCAGATGGAAATATAAGAGGCCATGTAAAGATACTGAACACCAAACTCCCAAGTGATCAAACAATCTACTTTCAAACATCCTACACAACAGCTTCTTTTTTTTTTTTTTTTCTTCTCTAGGACAATTTCACTTAGTCATAGCCTGGTGATCATAATGTTAAGGCAAATACGCTCCAAATTTTTCATAGGATTTGTTTGAATTTTATTATTTTTTTGCATCTGCACTTTTGCAGACCTAAAATGTGCATAAGTTGGATGGAGCAGACAGATGGACTGAAATTTAGTCTGACAGATGAGGAGAGCGACACACAGAGAGACTGATGATTGTGATATCCTGTGCAGATATATCTCATCCTGTCTTCATATTGGTGACAGACAGGTTGCAAATAGCAGTCCTAAGAGTTAAGGCTTCTGAGGAGCCTTAGAAAGAGCTTCTACAACATTGTTCATCAATGAAAATTCCATAGAACTAGAAAAATTAAAAGAAAAAAATATATATATTATTATTATTTTTTCCCAAGTTCTATGAGTGTTCATGTATTGTGATCCAACATAATAATATACCTACAGACAATCCCTTAGGACAGTTCTTGTTCTCTGGTGCAATCCAATATTAAGTCATAAGCAGTTTCACAGATGTAGAATTACCAATTTAAACAAGCCCAAGGATTTCCAAGCTGGAAACAACTACATTTCAGAAGGAATGTAAAGTAGACATGGATTATTATTATTTTTTTTTTTATAATTGTTGATTCTGAGATCACAGAACAGTACGGCAGGAAACCCAGAAGTTATAGGAAGCTAATATTCAATAACAGGTTCTTACCGTACAATCCCTTTGCCATTCCATGAACAGATCGTTTATGGACTCTTTTCCATTCTTTCTTTCACTTCCTTTCATCTACTAACATTTTCTAGCGGTCTTACATATTTTTACTTAGCTCATACCTGTTTTTTGGGGGTCTTTTTTTTATCTTCAATTTAGAATCAGTCTCCTTTATTTCTCTTACATTTCTTGTTGTTTGTTTTTAAAAGCAAACTGTTCAATAACTTGCAATAAAAATATGCTGTTTTTTTTCCACCTTTCTCTGAACATGGCTAGTGTGCTTTATGTTGCCAATCTTCTTCTAGATAAACTTGTTGTTTTTTTCATAATGGCACCTAACAGAACCATAACTGCCAGCCTCATACAGTTTGCTTATTTAATGTATTTACTGACAGACTGGTGCCTATTTACCCTGTAGTAGTTCCCTGCCAAAACAGCAGGGCCCAGGCAAATTGTCATTGCAGGTGCTCTGCAAAAGACAGCCCAATATGCTCTGATAGCTATCCAAACCAAAAAAAAAAAAGGAAGAAAAAGGCTTTCCTAGAAAACAAAATGTCCACCATGATGTTTTCATTATTTATTCTGGAGAGCACCAGTAAACACACACCAAAAGGGGGTAATTTGTGAATTGCTGAAAGAGTGAAGTCAATGGATGCCATACCTCTGCAAACATTGCAGCATCTGCCTTCTGGTAAGATCTGCTCAACGACGGTGCAGTTAATCTCTGGACACGTTTCTGTAACTTTCACCATCAAGCCATTCTGCAAGGACAACACAAAGATAAAAATCACAGAGCTGGAGTCAAAAGCGTGAAGGTCTTTGCAGCAGGTGTTACTTATTTTTAGCAGATATAATGCAACTATATTATCCAATTGGATACAGGGTGTAAACTTGCAACCCAACTGTCATTAAAACACTTCAACAAACAGACAGAACAGGATCCTAAATATGAGTGGCTGAAACTAGCCTCACCAGTGAGGCAGGGTTCTCTCTATGAGGCAGTGTGAGGACCTCAGCCATCCGGGAGGAGCACTCCACAATGAGAGGAATCAGCTGATGTGGTTTTGACATCTGCTCTAATGCCCTCTGGAAACTTTCACCAGAAGGTGTTATAGGCATGTCCCACCAGACAGAGGCCCAGGGGATGGCCCAGGACATGCTAGAGGGATCATGTCTCTCTTCTTGCCTGGGAACACCTCAGGCTCGCCCCAGAGGAGGTATCTAGAAAAAGGAAAGTCTAGGTGTCTTGCTGAGACTGCTGCCCTGCCAACCCATTCTTGACCGAGATCTTGCAGTAGGGTATGCGGACCAGGTAAGTGCCTAGGGCCCCAAACAGAACTGGGGGGCACTGAGGGCTGTACGACATGACAGTAAAACTAAAGAAAATAAACCAATAATGCATGATATAAGCTCACAGTTTGAATTCTCTGAAATGGCCTTTTCTAGAGAGTTTCCCCTGTAGCATCACTGAAGTGGCCAAATGCAATGACCATATAAAATACTGAGGACATTAAAAAGACGGATGTACTATTGTTTCCCCTTGAGTAAAAGCAGGTCCCTTTCAGCTCACTGTCTGCAAAAAAAAAGAAGAAAAAAAATGCCAAGAGCAACAAAGCTGATAAGGGAAATGGAAAATTCTAAGCTTTTAGGCTTTTAAACAAAGGAAACGCTAAAAGGAAGAAGATGATAATTATTTGACTGTACAGTTGTTATTCGACTACCTTCTAGTGTGTGCCTTTGCAATACAACTTGATAAAAGTCTGCTGTTATGTTAACTTGTTGGGCTCAACTAATTAAAGGTAACCCAATGTTAAAAACAGTAGAAGTACAGCGCTGATAATTACTACATACGCTTCATTTGCCCTGTTTACAGAATTTTATCGTGAGATAGAGGACATTAATATTATACTATTAATGTCCTCTATCTCACAATAAAGTTCTGTAAACATAATAAGCCTAAATGCAGCCACACAGCTGCAACTTCTTGGTTTTAACACTGATAAAATTATAAATTTGATCTTCCCTTTTAAAAACGGTGATTAGAGGACTGGCTCTGACTTCAATCAAAGGTAGCATTCTCAGGTATTTAGGAAATATCTGGTAGCTGCATCTGTCCGGGCTGAAGGTTGAAAATGTCTAAAGAAAGTAGGTTTGAAAAAAATTCAAGGTTGTCCACATTTGCTGAATATTTTTGCTTAGGTTTCTTATGCATTTAGGTTTAATACGTCAGTGTTTGCTGTTTCTGTTTTTAACTGTTTACATGTAGTATTCTCCTGATTAAGACTTACTTGACAATAAAATCGTTTTTGATCAGATATTTCCTGAAGGTGTTGATGCTAAGAAATGTTTTAGAATCACATACATATTTACAGGTACAGTGCGTCAAATGTAGCTCTGTAAATGATACACAGCATGAATATGAATGATTAATAATTATTTTTATACTAATTATTTTACATGAACGTAATTACATGTTTCCTTAGTTTAAACTGAGCTGTAGTATAAATAAGGCCTCAGTTATCCCTCTTTTCTAGGGTCTCCATGGAATCTAATATCTCTGGTATTCTAAGAAAAAAAGTCCAGATATTAAACTGGACATAAATGTAAGATGGCTAAAGATTCTAAATTCTTTAACCTTGGAGACAGAGATTAACTTCTGACTAAAGCAAGGGAGTGAAGATGGAAACAAGTTGTTCATGTAGGGTTTTTAAACAATAACAGACAGCAGCCTTGATGTATAACAGCCTGCTGGTGGCCCTCAGAGGTTTCTCATAGCTCAGGCATCAAAATCAATATAAGGATTTTATCCTCTTTTTAATGCAGTTTTTTTTTTTTAAATATAACCCACTTCATTTGAAAACCAATTTACACACTGATTAGACTTATTTTCCGTGTATTAACTTATATGTTAAACCTGCAGGTACTTTCAAAAGTTACAGGATAATGGAAGCTGCAGATTTATTTTTCTTTACTGCCAGAGGCTCCAAGGATTGGTTTAATTTAATTTGCAGAGCTTCCTGTGTTAAATCTTGTTAACACAGTTAACAAGACACACTCTGATTAATGAAGTTTAAATAGTAGCATAATTATTTTTATTTAAAAAAAGAGAAGCACAAAACTGCAGACATTTTTGTTCCATAAGCTATGTAAAAACATTAAATGCTTTGTTTTGTTTTTTCTGTAATGCCTTTGTAAGGCTTATTACAATGGAATGTCAGGGCAATTTTAGATAAAGGAAAACAATCATATGACCACAGAGGATTATTAATTAGAAATGTCTTTTTATTTTATATACTTTTTCTCTGGATATTCTCTGATGCTAGTGAGTCGCTACATATATATATATATATATATATATATATATATATATATATATATATATATATATATATATATATATATATATATATATATATATATATTTCCTTTGATATAGATATTATCTAAGAAGATATTTTAAAACAAAAAACAAAAGCTGAAAAAACAAAAGCTAAAAAAACTACCGGTAAATAAAAATAGAAGTCCCCTTATGTTAATGTTAAATATATGTATGTAACCTTATTTTGACCACATATAAGAGTGAATATAAGTATTTGAAAAGACATAAAGACTTAAATCTTTTAACATGATAATTTCTCTGCATTTTACCACTTTTTCACATTGAAGAATATTCTAGTTTTGTTTTGTAAAAATTATAATCAATTTCAGTATTTCCTCAATTTTTTTAATAAAATTTAAAAAATAAAAGTTTTTAGGTGTAACACAGTCTTTGTTTCTTCTTGTTCTATGACAAATTATAATCAAATAACGTTCAAATAAAAAATTGTCTAATTTAGAGAAGAGGTTCCTCTCATGCTGTGTTTATTTTTAAGCTTTATCTTTATTTATCAATTGGAAGCTGTGAATTTTGAAAGCAAAGCAGATTCAGTTTCAACCATACACCTGCCAAATTTCTTTCTCATTTTTCTTCCCTTATCCTGTACGTCGGAGGTCTTCAACAGGGGGTCCGCGACCCCTAGGGGGTCCACAGAGGTACTGCATGGGGGTCGCGAAAGTTTTGGTTAATAAGACTTTTTTTATATTCCTCCCTGCAAATTTTTCCACTAATTGAAATGTCTTTAAATAAACATTAACATGAATTCAACACACTGTAGTAAACAGATAAATGGAGGCAGAAGATGTCTTTCAGTCATCAATGCACACATTCAGTGACACATAGGAGCTCTTTCAAGCTGAGCACCGTTTCATTCACAACACCTGTCCCATCAACCAGGAATCAGAATCCCAGGGTGAAATTACTTTTGTTACTTTAATCCATGTGTAATAGAGTGACTATAGGACCAGTTTGACATAACATTTTTTTATAGAATATATATAATTAGGGGGTCCCCGCTCCATCTCGCCATCAGTTTGGGGTCCTTGGCCTGGAAAACATTGAATACCCCTGCTGTACACCAAACGATAACTTCATTGCTGCTTTTTATGACTTCACACCTATCTATTGTCAGAGAATCAGAGGCGAGCACTAAATGCATTTTGAAATGTGCAATTTCCCTTCTGTCAGAGATTTCCATGCAACATTTTTTTAAAGAAAAAAAGCTTTTTAAAATAAAGCAATATAAATTTGCCAAATATGGTGACTAATTCAAATAAAGTTTAATAGCATACTGAGCTGTCCAGTGACTAATGAAGAGTCCAACAAGTCCCCAAGTGCCTGCTTGTAAGCAGTTACATTTGTAAAATGTTAATTTCCTACTTAGTATGCTATCTTTAAAGATAAAGACATTCTCACAAAGGAGAAATCACATTTCTGCTCTGCTAATCTGGAATAATGACTGCCATTATAAAGCTTGCAATGATAGAGTTTTCAATTCAGCCAAAGCTTTTGTAAAGATGGCCACATAAATTATTCTAATTACCTGGCTATCTCAACATTAGAGTAAAAATAGGCAGATTGAACAGATTGCAGGGAAGGAAAACTAATATGGCCTGCTGGCTTATTGAATTACACACCAAGAGGTCCACCACATGCAATTATTGCACATATTCCCTCTAAAAATGTGCCTGATTATATTACTGAAGAACAGATGATAAATGATAGAGAAAGACTTGCAAAATTCAAAAAGAAACGATACCTTGCATTCCTTGCATGTCCTTGATAGAAAGCGCTGACCCTCAGCAAACGTCAGTCCCATGTAGGTACATTTTGCTGCAGGGTAGAGAGAATAAATATAATATTAAAGTGATGCACTGTGTTCTTGAATGAAAACACAGTAGCTGCATGAAATAAAACCTTATTGGCTGACCAAAGAAGAGTTAATAAGAATGAGTTTGGTTTGGGGGTTTTGTGGTTCAGATGTAAAGTAATGCATTTTAAATCTGGTTAAATTATTATTTTACTGTTAATATGCATTAATGCAGAACTGTAAAATCACATTAAGAACAAAATAGAGCAAGGCCTAGTAGCATATCTCTCTGGTGATAAATCAGAAATAAGTGAGCCACATGATACAAAGTCCTGCTTTCCTCCTCTCCAGAGTGTTGGACCACAGTATGCTCTGTCACAGCTCAGGAGCGCAGCTTCCTCTTTCCTCTGTGCCAGAGCTCTGATGTTTAGTTGAACAAGAGGAGGAAGGAGGAATGAGCAGAGGGACAGAGGGAGGCAATGGAGGGCTAAAATTATTCAGGCGCTATATACTTTGGGGATTTCTTTCTTTTGATGCAGTATATTAAGAAAGGCACAGCTGTCTGTGTCTCAAAAAAGATACAAGATCTCTGTGTGCTTAAAGCTTTAAAACCTTTCCGATATTTTAAACAGCTTGTGATCTTTGCTCTTGCAAAAGTTGAATCTGCCTTCAGTCTGCTAGCAGACCAATGTCAGTTGAGCTTGTCGTCAATCTACTGAAACTGCAAATCGCTGTGTAGAAGTGTTTCATGCATTAGGCTAATAAATCTCTAACACAATGACCAGTTGCCTTGTTATGTGTTGGTTCACATAGAGGCATGGGTGTTTAGAGATCACTGAGGGGTGATGTGCTATTTGGCACCATGAAGATAGCAGCTGATCCTTTAAGTACAAAGTTGTGATGTGGCGTCTTCATGGATCACACCTGTTTGTACAATACATCCTGCAGATGCTCAATTGGACTGAGATCTGGTAAGATTTGGAGCTCAAGTCAAAACCTCTATATCGTCATGCTTCTCAAGCCATTCAAGACCTATGTTTGCTTTGTAGGTGGGTGACTCATCCTGATGAAAGAAATCATGGGTACTCCGAATGTTCTGGTTCCATGCGGCCTCATCCGAAACACATTCCTGACAAACAAGCAATGATAACTACAGCAACTGTATCTACAGTTGCCTTTCTGTCAAATCAGACTATAGAAGGAGCTACATTTATGAATAAACATGTTTTTACTACCCATTACTGCTTTACTATTATTCTGTCTTTGGCCAACTTTGATAGATGTTGGCCATTATACTGCAGGCTGGGAAAGCCGGATAACACCTGAGCTGACCAAGTTTTTAAGCCATTAAAATTTGTTACTAGACAAGCTTAAATTCATACACTTGTCTATTTGTCCTGCTTTTAACAAATCAATGTACCATGATAAATATTTAATAAATGTTATGACATCACCTGCCTTTAATAATAAGGCTATGCATCATCACGGTAAACCAAAAAGGAAAAGTTCAAAACACTGTTTCTGTTGTTTGGTTAAACAAATCTCCTTTTACATCATATTATAGAAAAATAACTCTAAAGAAAGCAATTTAACATCCTAAGCTAAAAAATAACCCTCAATGTTTAGTGGGAGAAGAAGTGGATATTTACACTCAAATGAACACAAGTTAACCATTGTTGGAAGTTGTAAACAAGTAAACAGTGAGGGTTTTTCAAACGCAGATGTTTAGATTGTTTGCTTTTTGTTATGCTTTCACATGATGCAAATGAAGCAATGAACAATAAGAAACAGAACAATGATTCAGCATGTTCACAAATCTGATATCCTAAATGTAAAATTCCCCCATTTAATTCAGTTGCAGCAAGTTTGATCTCAAGCTGAAATGTTAAAAGTCAACACCAAAAACACTGAAAAAGAAGTATATGGAATCTTCTGGGAAAAACTGAGTCATACTGATAAAACATAAAATGCTTATTTTCGTTATAGATATATGTACTACAATTTTTTACTTAGAGAAGAAAACATTTTAAACACAAAAAATACAATTGGTATTACAACATGTGTTTTTTTTTTTATCAGATCTACTTAACAAAGTAATGAGGTGCTGCAATCTGATGCTCTGCTAAAGTACCTAATAATTATTGTTAATTTATTCAAGTAAACAAATTATGGTGCTTATAATTATTTTGGTGGTACCAGTCAGTACTTATTCAAATTTTAAAAGCTGGTTATTGTTGACCGGAGGCTATCTTTAAACTGTGAACCATAATTGTACTTTAAAAAGTAACTACAGAGATCTTTGAAGCAAGCTGCATATGTGGTGATACTTACGTCGGCATGTTTTACAGCAGGTCCCATTAACGTGTACAGGCAGCGTGTCATCTGTGCAATTTGCTGGGGGACAGAAGATCCTGCGACACTCCACCACACCATTCTTTTGGATCATTAAGGAAGAAAAAAATATTACAGTTTCACAGTTTTCAGATAACTTAAAACTCATCCACTTTATCTATGTACATACGAAAACTAGGAATATCCTGACCGAGTCTCAAGCTAAACAAATGCACTTTCAAACACCGAAACTCAATGGATAATTTCTTTGAGTTCATGTTAGCATAATCCAGAGCAAGCCTGGCTTTTGGATATTTACTCAGATAATGATACATGTTAAGCCTATTTCTTAAAAGTAGCTTAAGATCAGAGAGAAATTCAAACAGTGAATGAGTTAAAATACCTGTGTGTCATTCTGCCTAGTTGTACCTAAATGCATGATTTTGCCTCGGTTTTCATACTGTATCACCATTTGGAGCTAAGCAGCTCAATCTGTATTAAAAACTATGGTATAACTGTACAGCACAGTAGTAAAATATAGAAAAAATACGGCTTTTTATGTTTTGAATATTTCAAAAGTTTTTTCTTTTTTTTTTATATTACTTACTTTTATATTACTTTTTAAATGTATCAACGGCCTTGTACAATAATTAGTGAGTAGAATGATTCCCAAAGTCACCAGCACAGGAGCTGGAACTAGAGCTGCTGTTAATGGAAACTGTAAACCTCAAAAATATAAAACAGCGTTTGGGCAAGGTTACTTCTCTAGAGAGCTTCATATCTGAAGAAGTTTACCATATGCTTTTACTGAATTCTAAAAACAAAAACTACCAGATTATTTTTTTGCTTAGTGGAGGGATAATACAGGGAAACAATATGGTCAAAGCTTTGTTTAAAATTGACACAGTCTTTTATTTCCACACACCAGATTAAAAAATGAGTTCATGCAAATAGACTATCACTAAGACCAGTTAATAAAGCACAGAAAATGAATAGCTATTGTAAATTATAAAACTCTTTTGTGTGTCCTATAGTTCTTGCCAAGCATGAATTATCTTTCAACATTATATAACGCAACCCAAAACTTGTATCAAATAAAAAAAAACCGTTACATTTCAGAATAAAATGTACTGCATTAATTACTGAGGCAGCACTGTTCTTGAGTAGCCTGTTGATATGAGATACCTGTAGTCAAAGCCTTAAGGACTACATTAATTTCTGAGTGATATCTCACTCTGCAAGCCCCTCTTCATTTCATGAGTCATCGAAAAGAATTCCCCTTAGACGATGTGGTTATCAGTTAATGGCATGCGAGGAAACCAGCCTGCCCAAACTGTGCTGTGCTTGATGCAGAAAGTGTAAATCCTCAGAATCTAGAAAGGTCTGATTCTAACTGCTATGTTTGAATGCAGACAGCCAAGTTAGGAAGCTTATTAGAGGATGCTTGCCGTTTAAGATTGCAAGCTGGGAAGAAATAAAAAAAGAAACAAAAAATATGACTTGGAATATATCCTTAGAGACGGACACAAGATTATCTGCCATAAATGTGTGATATGGTGTACTGAAACTGCTTTAGAGAGCATTTTTCACATGCAATTTCTATTTCTTTTTTTGAGAATTCTAATACTGACAGTAACACTGATTACTTTACTGAAATCATGTCAAGAGCTTTATAGAAACTTTGTAATGGAAAGATAAGAAAATGAAAATTTTGGATTAAGTTCAACAACATTGCCAGAGACAATCTTTACTGAAAAAAAACAGGGTTTTTACTAGAGATGTACTGAACATGCTTCTCCAAGTCAATAATTATTATTTGTTTTCTTTAAGATTGAGCTGTAAATTCTGGTATTGATCAATATATTGTTTCCCTAACATGGATGCCATTTTAATGTAACTTTAAGAGAGAGCTAAAAAGTATGCACTGTTGGTTGATGTTAGAACAGGGATACTCAAGTAGAACTCAGTCCACAAAGATTTGCGTCAAAAGTCTCTTTGTTAGCCCTCAACCTATATAGTCCATCTGTTTACATGTATTCCCTAAAGCATTCGGCTTTATGACTGTGTATATTTATTTAACACTATTATAACTTTTTATCCTGATAAAGCTAATTTGTTAATGATTAATACACAAGCAAACTGCACACATTTTCTTAACAAGGCAATTTTTTCAAGTTTGAAAACTGCACTTTGAAGCTTGAATAAGGGTTTGGAGCATATTGAATTTTTCACTGCATGTTGAATTATAGTCTGACCTGAAATGGCAAAGGCTATGTTAAATTAAATGAGGGTAATGCTTACCTTACATGCACAATTCCTACAATTTTCAGGTTCCACCCAAAGCTCTTTGTCCCGGTACACCTGGCCATTGGCGCTGCAGGTCCTTTCACAGTGACATCCCTCTAGTTGGGTCAGTCTAGATTCTGCATAATTCAGCTGCAGACAAGTGATTCCAAGGTCTGAGAATATGCCACATAGCCTATTGCCCAGTAATTATTATCCCCAGGTGTATCCTGCTCAATTCTTATAGAAAACCTCCACAAAGAACTATATTTAATATAAGGGTAAATAGAATAATTAAAATTCATTTAATTCAGGGTCCACATCTAAAGCTGTGATCTACAGAGATATTACATATTTAGAAATTACAGCTTCTCCTCTGCATGTCTTCTCTTTCTAATTGTGCAATGTCACCAGTTCCTTTCTTGTATTATGAGGTGCTCATCTCCAAGCATGCCTACCATAGACATTTTGCAAGTAGTTTCACCTGAAAGGGGGCAGCAGGTGAGCTGCAACAAAAAAGGGATTTTAAAGCAGTACCTCACTGATTATTAAGAAATATTTTGTACTGTAAAAATATAAATAATGAGCTAAATTTAACCAAAAATGCTTTCTCCTGATGATGAGAAAAGTGTCATTGAATTATTTTGGTTATTCGAGTGGTGCTCCTGTCATACTGCCAGGCACAGCTGTCATTTAGCAAAATGCACTCAAGCTGTGCCAAATGTAATTTTCACCTCATAAAAGGGAATCTGGTCAGATAAAAGTGTCCAGATCTATTGTGGGACTTCTTCTGCATATGATGGAGCTTGTGGTCATGACTTTACCCTGTTACCAACTGTGTCTGGAGCGGTTCATAACCTCTGTTACACATGAGGGCTGGGCAAGAACATGTCAGTGACTTGAAGCCATTATTCTGATAGACCTCTGCCCCTGATCTTTTTTTTTTTCTAGGGCACAGCCGTGCTTCTATGATAGTCTTATGAAACACTGACTATTTCACGCATGTCAGAGCTCTTCTGTTCTGAATAAAAATAGGACAAGTAAATGCCCAGTTAGATTTTTTGTCAATATATACTGTAGGGGTTACTTTTTCTTTTTTTCTTTAATCCAATTAAGGAATTGTATGCATGTTACTGGTAATGATTCAGGAGTTTATTTGTAACGGGAATATTTTATTTATTATTATTGCCAAAATATGCCACATTCTACATGAGTATTGATAATGATCATGCATTCAACTTATGAGCAGTGTACCCATCTTCTGAGCATCAGCATAGGTAGATGGCTACATACTGCAGGATAATGCACCATCCCACAAGGCTCAAATGATCTCACTTTTGTTTCTTTAACATGAATTAAATGAGTTCACTGTACTCCAATTGCTTCCACAGTCAATAGATCTCAATTCAACAGAGCACCTTGGGGATGTGGGCAAATGGGTAATTTGCATTATGGATGTGCAATTGAGAAATCTTCAGCAACCAAAATCTCAGAACAGTTTATGGGGGATGTTTTTCTGTTTTGTTTTTGATAAGTTAACAAATAAGCTGGTACATCTCCCATAGTATCAGATGTATAGAAATATAATAATGGAGTATTGTTAAATTAAAGTTGGTTGGTTATCTTTCTATTCCATTAAAACAAAAGACAACTTTGCAGTAGTTTGTTATTGCGAGTACAAGATGTAAAAAAAGAATAATGGTTAAAATATTTGAATTTTTATTAATCTGAAATGAGCTTTTAATGCCTTGAACATTTTTCTGTAAAGTGGAATGTTGAAACTTATTTCACCTTTCATAGAACTCAGGCTTTTTGATTTTGTTTAGGTCACATCTAACTAGAAGTAAGTAGTGAAAGGCTTTGAAATAAAAGTGGCATATAAAAATGAACTTTTTATGTAAAATGAAAGGCATCTTTAAGGGAGCATTGATATAACCATCCAGGTCAAATTCAGATATCATGACTTCCCTCATGATTGTAAAATCTGGTGGCACCCCTACCACCTCTCCTCAGTGACTCATCCAAGCCTTGTTCTCAGAAACAAAGACGATTGAGAAGCGATTGAGGCTTCCTAGGATAAATGAAAAACACTAGATGTCACTGAGGTATTTTACTTTGTTTAAAGAGGTCCCTGTTGAAAAGCTATGAGAGTTATGAATGGTGGAAACATGTCTTGGCAGACCCCTAAACAAAATGTTTGAAATGTAGTTTCAAAGGCTTGGAATCTGCCTGGAGGCACCACAGAGGAATACCTTTCCTGTACAACCCAAGCATCAAATGGCACCATAATGCAGCACAGAAGACATATCTAATCAAAGCTAGGCAACTAAAAAAAAAGGCTTGTGCAGATATATTTATCAGATTACATCTTTTCTCTTTGTTATTTTGGAATGCATGTGTAAGGTACGTGGTAAACAGTTTTGTAACAAAGTCGTGGGAGCCAGAGATACTGTATCTGCAGCATTTAGTTACACTGAAGCCACGATAAATCACAAATACTAAAAATAGATAGCGAAAGGCTATTGCTTTTAAAAATGATATACAACTGTTGTCCAGGCTGCCACATATCAGACCAAGGTCTAATTAGTAATCCATTATTTGGAGTTTGTGATTTCCATTAGTCTATTTTAATACAAAATTTCTTTCTGTAACGTGCGATAAAGTTACAGATGGGGTGTTGGTTTATATTTTTTAAGTCTGATATTCCCAATTATTTCCCTTTTGGCTGTGACACAATCTGTTTTGGCTGCAATCAACGCCTTTGTTTATAGATGTCCAAGCTCTGCCTGTTTTTCAGTGTAGTCCAGTTTCTCTGACTGTGACTAACTGTTTGTACTCTCTTTCATCCTCTAACATGGGAGCTGGCTCGGAGCTTGTCTGCCTGACTGTGTGTTTCCTGGACGGCTCCGCACCTGTAGGTGTTTGGCAGTTGCCTTTTGTATCTCTGCTCTCGGCATATGGACGCTCACAATGAACCTGGTTCTGCTGGAGGTTTCCTTCTGTTAAAAGGGAGTTTTTCCTGTCCACTGTCGCTACAAGAATGCTTAGTGTGTTGGATTGCCTTCGAGTCAATGAGTCAATGCAATCAACTGGTTTTCCTTAGATAGAAAACTTTGAATCAATTTGACTGCATGATCTGGTGAACTGTGAAGTGCCTTGAGATGACATGTGTTTTGAACTGGCGCAATATAAATAAACTGAACTGAATTTCCCTGGGTGGTCCAAACATTACGAGGTGTATTTCTTAACAGTTCCATTCAGTAGTAACGTGTAGTGTAGTTTTAGTCATATTTTATATCTTTGTTTCCTGATTTCTTTCTCTAATTTTGTCAAAACTGGCCTTTTCAGACTTTTTAAAGTTTCCCTAAAGGTTTAAGTGATAAATCAGTAAAGGTTTTAGGTACCATATTTTCCTGTCTGGAATAAGATAGGTTATGTTGACCTTTTAACAATGCAGAAATTTAACTTTTCCTACAAACATTTTTGACTTTGTCTATAATTGACCTGTGTAATGCTCAAACAGTTCAGTTTTGGCAACTGGACATGAAGGTTCCTAGAAGACCTGTGTAATCCACAAAAATCTATATCATGTATTAAAGAAAAGAGAGAGAGAGAGAGAGAGAGAGAGAGAGAGAGAGAGAGAGAGAGAGAGAGAGAGAGAAATGTATTCCAAACCAAATGGCATACATATTTTAAAACCCTGAAATACTGATAAATGTATAAAAAGCAACTCAATATTCAGAATTGTTTTCAATGAAAGTGGTTGCAAAGGGACTAATATGAAATATTTAACTGAAGAGCTTTTTTTGTGTGTTTCAATAATATGTAAAGCCAAATCTAACATGTAGGTCAAAAATATCCAACCAACTCATCTTTATGTCTTCAAAATACTTCTTTGCAGATCATCTCTGCTTAGCTGTTTAAAAGATCAGATAAGTTGAAAAAGCTAGCAATGCTCTTTCAATATTTAATTTAATGCTTTAGAACTTAGAGTTTCCTCTGATAACCTTTAACTTTTACAGATGTTCTAAGTTCCCTTTGGATTTTAAAGCTCCAGTGTGTAATAATTCAGGGATCTACAGATGGAAATGTAATAAAATATACAAATGTTATCTATTATCATCTACAAACTGAAAGTCTAATTCTTTATGTTTGCGTTGCCTTATAAATTACTTTTTATAAGTACATAGGAGAAAGTTGCAATTTATGGAGGCATTTATGGAGAAATTTATATTTCTGCACTACGGCAGTGCAATGCTGACAAACTACTGACTGTAGAGACTGCCATTGTATAGGCAAGTTAGGCCTATATAAAATCTATATCCTACACAGATCAATAAAATACTATTTATAAAATTATCTTTGTACTTGACAAGATTTGGACGTTGCAGAAGGTATTTTGTACTATGATGGCCTCCATATAGTTGGAGGGGGAGAAGCGGTTGGGGGAGCCGTTCATGTCACTGCAGTCTGACCTTTAGATGTCACCTAGAATAACACACAGCACCTTTAAAGTAAATGAAGCACCTTCTATGGCCTCTATACCTAAAGTCCCTGGAATTGTCAAACTGGTCAGTCTTGTAGATTTATTGGTACAACTGAAATATCAGCACTAATTCTGGAAAATAAAATAAAATTTTTGGCATTTAAGATGTTATGCAGTTATATTATAAAATTAGAAAAACTTGTTTAATGTTAGAACTAGAGTTGAAACAATTTTAAGGGTTAATCTGATGAAATTTAAATAATCAATTACTGAAATAATTATCTACTCATTTGCAACTGAATAGTCTTAAGCGGACTGCAAAGTCTTACAAATACCATTTGTTGAAATAACAACCCACTCAGTTGTAATTAGCCCAAAACTACACCATAATGTAAATAATCTGCATTTAAGATGACAAATTGCAGATTTCTCAAATAATTTGTAGTTTTAGTTTCTTAAACTGTGCAAATAAAGGGCAGCAAATGTTGCTCCTGGTCTAAAAGGTAAAAGGACAAAGAATGCATCCAGTTTGAACAAATAAAGCCTTTCCTCAAGCTGAAAACTGTTAAAGCTTCAACCAAATCAAATTGTTTTAAAAGCCTCTTTGCTAATCAAATTGTTGGGGGTTTACACAGGAAGACTTAATAGGAAGTACCCAGAGGAACTGTTTTCACAACTAGTAATGGCTCTGTGATCTTAACATACAATTTGATCCTTCCTATAAAGACAGAAGTTTAATACATGCAAATTCGGCCATGATTATCCTCACACAGAGGGGCTTAGTGCTATCTCACTTCACCTTGACACTCGACTTCACAAACTAGGGAGCAAGCAATTATTCACTGCATGCTCGATCCTTCAATTTTCCACTGCATAGGCAGCGAGCCATTTAGAGCAGGAGATGACTACATCCTCCCTGCTGTGACTTGTATGTGAAGTGAGGTCAGGTGGCAAAAGGTCGAGCTGTGCTGATGTGAAGGAGGAGGCACTCACACAGCAGTAGGGTAATGGTCGTCATCTCATCCTTATTTACAGCGAAAATGTTCTATAGCTCACTCGCCACCTGGGATGTCCTTGCCTCATCCACTTCTACCCTGTATCGCTCTCACAAGCACCTAAGTGCACACACGCAATTACACATATACCCAAAGACTATTACATACTGATGATGATGGTTAATGCAGACTTTGAAATGGATCACTTTTTCCCACATGGCTCTCCCTAACCGTTTTGTGTTACTCTCCTGTTGAGTTGACACAGTCTCCTTCCGGAAAACTCACTACAGATGCAGATCACAGCCATCTAAGCTTTGGTGTAGTGAGTTTGGCATGAAAATGCCTTATTAAAAAAAAAATTACAACACTTTTTTTATATCTTGCTGTCATTTATTTATTTATTGTCTGTGTTTTTTTGTCATTTTCTTCTTGCAATATTCCTCTAGAAAAGTAAATTGAAGACAGCAATGGTGGTCTAATAATTTTGCCGATTTAGTACCTTAACTTGCCTTGCCTCAGTCTTGGACTCTACAGAGGATATCTACACACTTAAAGGTCTTCGCTGCAAAAAAACTACACTGGGTATCTGTTAGATGGCTTTCAATTTATAGGAGGTTGTTCTAACTCATTACCTTCAGGGTCATCTTGGCGAGTAGCTCCTGAAGGTCCATGATGCCTTGCACTAGGCTTAGGAAATCGCTGCAGGTGGGACAGGCTCAATAGACAAACAGGACGTATAAAAAGAGATAATGGAAGAAAAGGAAGAGCAACAAAAAAAAAAAAAAAAACACTTTCAGACAGGTCTTTAACAACGTAAAAAATACATTATTGTTTGGCTGCTGGTACAGTTCACAGTAGTCACAGTAAAAAAGTAAAGCGTGAAATATTGGAGGTAACAATTTGTTTCATTCCTTAAGTTTGTTTTTTTTTTTATCAAGAGGAAAGAACCGGGGTCTGATTGCCTTATTGATCAAAGACATAAAGAGTAACAAAGGAGTGACCCTGGATCTTAATCTGTTTGACAGAAAACAAATCCAGAAAGGAGGAAAAAAAGAAACTAAGCTTCATTGTAAAACCAAATAAAGACCAGACTTTGCCAGAGAAGTAAAAACATATTCCTGTCTTTTGTATTGTCTATTACATGCCAGTCTAGCAGAGGCACAAACAAAGGATTGTTTTTCACTTGCTTTATGTTGTTGACAATGCTTTTAAGATACTTACTGCGATTAAGATTAGGACACTGTGTGATGTAGCCATTTGGTGCAAAGATCAGTTTCACATCCTGGATAATGCCCTGAAAATAGACAAAGATAAAGATAGATTATAAATTCTGTCAGTCTTTCCTTGAGTTCTACAGCGCACTAACTTATTTAAGATAAGGAATAAACAGCAATGAAAGGTTATAAAATGTATGTTTTTCTTAAAAAATATGACTAAACTATGCATTCAGAAATGCTTGCAAAGACAAAAAAAAAACAATTATTTTAAGGAGTCAGTCAAATTCATTGAGTCTCTCTAACTAAACTGCAATTGAAATGGTTTTTAATCGTTTTAATCACATCCAACTTTGCCATAAAGAGAATAAAATACTACATTGTCCTGTTATCTAACCATTATTGGCCATATTCTGTTTTGTTTTCTCAAAAATGTTTATAAAATACTGTCATAGTAGAGGGGCGGTAATACCTGTCAATTTTGGTCTTAACTAGGTTGTATCTTTATTCAACTCAGCCATAAATGGGAACAGATGTGGAGTTATTTTTGTGCTTTATTTTTCATTCAAGAAAAACAGCGATCTGAAATGGGAAAATAATTTTTAAAGTACAATAAATATATTGGAGAGAACACATTTTTACACTGAGAGCAAAAACTGTTATTATGTTATTTAAGACTGGAGAAAAAGTTTTGAGAGAAAATATTTCTTAATAAAATAAATAACACAAACACGATGCCAGCCTTCTCGTCATCACTCAGCTGTCAATTCTGCTGAGACTGGCCAATAGGAACACAGGCCCGCCCATGAGACCATTTTCACAGAGAAAAATCCTCAGTCAAGAGCAAAACACTTTTGAGAGAGAGAAGAAAAAAGTTTTGAGGTAGAAACTATAATTATGATTGCAAAAATGAACAATATATTGGAATATAAGGGTGTGCAAAGTAATCGTCATGCCGATGCATCGCGATTCTAATTTTTGTGATCTACTGCATTGATTCTTGAAGGCAAGAATCGATTATTAAAAAGAAAAATATGAACAAATAAAATACATTAATGGTTGGCGCACATCAGCCAAACCAAGTGGAATACAACTTCCAGTCCAGCAGATGTCACTGCGGATATGTTGACGCCCGCTGCCTTGTGTCACAAGCATTTCCGGCCGTGGGATACTGCGACGAGTCGTATAAAATAAAACATGGAGGAGACTATGAAAATTCGCCCCGCGGCTCCATCACATTTCAAGTCAGATGCTTTGATGCATTTTGGCTTTAAAAACAAAGAAGGTAAAAACGAAATTGATATGATGCACGTCATTTGCAAAAGGGGAAATGTTACACATTTGAATGTTTTCATTTCATTGGTTTAAAGGACCACTGAGACCATGTAAACGGCACTGATTATCCTTATTTTGTTATTTTAAGTTTGATGAATCCTAAGATCTTTTTGTAAGTGTGTCCGCGCCAGTAATAGTAATATTTCTGTCCAGTATTTGTTTTCATGGCAACAATTCCAAAAGTCGTTTCAATAAATACAGCTATGTATGAATTCAGTTGCTTTCAGTTATGTATCAATTGAAGACACTATCCAGATCATACCCAGTAAGTCAGCCACTGGTAATGGCTGTATCTTTTTCTTACAGTGTTCAGTGAAAATATCGCAATGCATCACAATATTTCAAGTATTGTGATGCCTCGTGATAGAATCGCATCGTGGCATGTGAATCGTGATTCGAATCGAATCGTGACTTCTTTGCCAATACCCACCCCTATTGGAGTAAAAATACATTTTAGAGAGACCTAAATGAGATGAATGTCAATTTATCTTTTATTTATTTTATGACAAAATATTTTCTCTCAAAACATTTTTCTGACGTGTTCTCTCCGATACATTTATTTTACTTTCAAATTATTTCCCCCTTTCAGATCACTTGTTTTCTTGAATTTAATAAAAACTTAAAAAATGGCTATATCAGATGCATACCAAACAAAAAAAACATCACCACATCATTATTTGGAAAAGAATTAATGTGTTCTTTAAAGAAATGCAATACTTTTTACAAAAAACATTATATACTTTAGAATTCATTCCTATGTCTCACCACTACATTATAAAAATAAAGTGACTTTAACAATGTTTTCTGGCTTTATCAAGCCAGAAAACATTGTCTTATAAAATCTAAAATCCTTTTAAAGACTTCCAGTTATTCTAAGTTGTTTTATAAGTTGTTTTTCTGATGCACATGGGTAGTAAATGGAAGTTTCATGATAAGAGCTTCAGAAAACAGCACTTTATTTAGTGGTGAACAAAGGTAATGAAACACCAGGGTGCCCTCACACATAGGAATCCAATATCCTTTCCCTCCTCCAACAAAGTAGCTACTGATAACACACTGAAGGGTCATTAAAATTCAGCACCTAAAGCACTATCTGCATCATCAGGTCTGCTTTACACATGTGTGAAATCCTATTTGTGGTACAGTTTGCTGTCTTGGATGACTTTTTCACACGTTCACAGAAAAAGAGACAGCTTTAAGGTGGAACAGACATCCATCAAACACACCAATACTTTATCACATATGTAGGTAACCTGAGCAGCAAATGGTGAGGAAGTGATTATCAGTGTCGATCAGAATGGGAATGAAGCCATAGATCGAAAAAATCTGTTCCGCAAGTCTTTTAATGATCAGAAGGGTATCTAAACTGAATTTTATATATTCCCTCTCACTAATTCAGTATCTGTCCCAGAGATGTAATGTTATTCAGTGTCTGAAATCCAATGGCTTGTTTTTCAAATATGGATATCCCAACAAATTACAAAGCTTTTCATTATACAAAAAATTTATGATTTAGAGCTGAATCATGAAATTGCCTCTTGATCTAAAGACACTACCCAAAAGAGAAGATGGTGGAAATATTCAAGAGCTACTGACACAGAGCAAATAAAGTGTTCAAACAACCCACTCATACTGCACTTTATTTAACTAAACTTAACTGAAATGACTGCCATACAATTTAGAGTCCACATAAATTAACCACACTTATAAAGAAGTCTTCCATGTCATGTTTTGACTTGAAGTAGCTTAAGGTTAAGTTAACGAGATGAAGAATCTAAAAAGACTGTTTTTACTTATAATATAATGTCTAAAGTGTCACAGCTGCAAGTAAAATATGCAGTATGTTTCATGGACAAAAATCATCTGTAGAACAACTTAGTGTTACGATCAAGACCACACCAACCGAGACCAAGGAGTACCAAGACAAGGCCAAGACATTTAGTGGCCAAGACCAAGAACAAATTGGTGATACTGTGCACATAAGCTTTGGATTTTTTTAACCACTTTGCAAATACTTCTTGAGAGACCTGGAAGTGTGAACCTATTTAGAGTTGCAGGCTGTCCTAGGAGAATGTAACAGGAAAGGAAAAGCACGACATAAAAGCCACAACACCACCTGGTTACACCAACACCTGCGAACAGCTCTGGTAAAATAAAGGCCAGGTTATGCACCAGGCTAACTTGCATGCTAGCCAAGGCTATCCAATGATTTTGCTATCCACACTTGTGTGGAATCAATTTTCTTTAGGACATTGATGTCCATTTAGTAGTTAAAAGAATTGCATTGAGATGTTTTCATATTAAGGGGTTCCACTGAATTCAGGAAATGTAATTCATGTAGAATGTGAAGGTATAGTAGGGATAGATTAAGTTAAAGCTTTGCACCCCATCATGCACAGTTTGTCTGGGAAGCTTAACGCCTTAAAAGTTGAAAAAAAAAAAAAGGAGTTAATGTATTATCACATTCTGATCTAAAATCCAAGTGTTGAATTAAACAGTCAAAGCAATTTAAAGGTGTCAGTTTCTCCTTAACTGTATATAAAATGTTTTAAAAGCAGAACAAATACCTTTGAAAGCATTAAAACTAGTGTTGCGCCGATGCCATTTTTTGGCCCGATACCGATACCCGGCTGTGCAGTATCGGCCGATACCGATACCATAATAATGTAAAATAATTGCCATCACGGCTTTGTCAAGCTGCTGCCTACCTTTGTGAAGCAGGAAAAAATATAATACAAAGTGAATCCAGCAGAACTTTTTATTGCCTACCAGGAGTGGGTGACAATAGTTGAATAAACTTACGGCTCTCAAAATGGTATTGGTGCCCTATTTGTTGGTACTCGCCGATACCGATACCACCATTTTAGGGCAGTATCGGGGCCCCGTCCGATACTGGTATCGGTATCGGTGCAACACTAATTAAAACAGAATAGCTTAAATTAATGATTTCACACTCACTCTGATGGCAACTTTATGGTACCGATAATGTGAGCTCAATTTTTTTTGTTGCAATTTTCAGAAATATGAATACATTTTAAATATATTAATTAAACTATGTGAAATCATTTAACCTTTATTTTTTTTCAATGCAATGATTATTGCTTCTTTAAGAGGCTCTTAGGTATTGTCTTCTGTTGACTGAGTATGAGGAAGGCACAAAATCTCCAACATTTGTTTCTTGCTGATTACAAATCTTTGTAACTGCAGTCATGCAAGGAGAAGTATTTTTAATCCAACCTGTCAACATTTCTGTTGAAATCTACACAATTAGAAACCAAATCTTTTGGGACATGTATGGCAGCTAAAAGAAAACAATTACAGATGACGAGTGCTTTGAAAGAGTAAAATTTACATAAAGCACTAAAGATGTGGCTTTCTATTTTCTGTTAATTCCCTTCAACTCTAAAAGTATAGAGACAAGAATATAAAGCTGTAATTTGGCAAAGATGCAGGTGCCCCTTTCATCATTTGGGCAGGTTAAAGTTATGAACAGTAAAAGCTCTTGTTTGACAATCTAACCCTACAAACCAGTGTTTGTTTCATCCATAGCAGCTTTTAAGGAGATGCAGAGATAACTGCCATGCTCGTGGTAGTTATAGAAAAGGGGCAAGAGAGTCATTTTTGAAAAAAAGTAGTAGAGCCTCGTCTACATAGACATCGGTATTCAGAGTAAAGGATGGATCTGAATAAAAATTTGTCATGTAAGTGTTGAAGATAATTTTTTTCAATTTAATTTTCTGTTTTAAATAACTACTCATTCTATATGTCTGTTCCCTTTCTGTGTAAGTCAGCTAGAATGCCATCCCAATGCTGAAGGCTAAGGTGACCAGAGAGGGTCTAGAATCACCTGATATGGTAATACTGCGGTCAGAGTGAGAAAGGCAGGATACTGAAGCTTGAGACTTTAGAGAAGGAACCTACTGGCTGGGTGTGGTATTTTTAGATAAATTGGAAAACTTTTTGTAGTTGTGGGTCATTTTTGCTGGTTCCACAGCTATGGTTGACAGGGAACAGGCCTAAGAAAGAAGGTAAAAGACTTCCTCTGCAATTTGTGCTTGTATGAATTATATTGCTAAACATGACTGGGATGATTTATGTTAATGCATAAAGATGTTTCCTTCTTTGTCTACACTAAGAATCAACCTTCCTCGGATTCAGACCTTGTAATTAAAACGATGATGTAAGAATGCCAATCAGAATAGAAAAATTTTGAATAAGAGAGAAACTTTAAGATGATTAATATTCTTCAATAGCACCCTTTGGTTATTATTATCAGAGGTGTCAAAAGTATTAATGTCTATTACTCAAGGATAAATCCTACTGTTTAAAAACACTTTTGTAGAAGTTAGAGTATCAACCTAAGTTTTTCATTCAAGTAAAAGTGTGAAAGTACCATTTTTAAAACTGCTTAAAGTATAAAACTGAAAGTAATGTAGAAAACTTAAAGGATAGATTTCTTTACTGCACCACCAAATTGAATGAAAATTTTACTACAATGCTAAATTCTTTATAACTAATGGTAACAGTGTCAAATTTAACTTTGCATCATCCTGAAAAACTATTTATTTTGGTACCGAGTTACCAAGTTTCTTGCTTCATTCAACACATCTTCTGTAGTTGTTTTAGAAAATATGACAACCATGGGAATATCAGAGCGCTTCATTCTAATCAAGAAATTTTGAGCATGTAAACAAGGCTACTGGACAGCAGAAAACTAATTAATCATATCATGTAAAACACAGTCCTGACAATCATTTAAACCGGTGGCAGCATTCTACTTTTGCTTTTTTATTTGGCAGAGACAGATAAGGTGGTCAGAGTTAATAGGAAGGTAGACAGAGCTAATTGCATGGCAACCTGTTAGAGGATGCAAAAAACATGAGACTGAAGAAGAGGTTAAATGCCCTGCAGGAAAACTTCTAAATGATGCAGCCAGAGTAAGAATAAAGAAAAAAAAAAAACCTTATAAGTCTTAAATCCCATTCTAAATCTAGGGTAATACATGAAGTTTAAAGGTGCTCATTTCCATTAACCATCCATTTGTTTGAGCTACTTTCCAAATAAAATTGGGCAAAAACATTAGTATCTCTATGTGAAATCTGACTAAAACATATAGACATGAAACATACTAAAAAGCATTAATAAAGTAAAGCTTAACATAAATACATTCCACTGTTTCCAGGTTTGTATTTCTAAATCTTTTAAAACCATATCATTTTTGTCTTCTGCAATTCTTTCCATATTTAGTGTTGTATTAACACTTCCTGGTTTAGCTTACAGAATATGCCAGAGAAGGTATAATGTCAATGCTGAAAATATGAAATGAAACTAATCTAAGCAATGAACGAAGCACAAACAAATCGAGGTGATCTGTCTATGAGTGTCCAAGTAAGAATAATCATGATTCAGTGGTGCATTAAACAAAGCATTTCAAAGTGCTGGCTCTAAAAAAGCTTGCTGTGTCCCTGAGGAGCAGTATGCTTGGCACAATGGATTTTAGATAAAGATAATTTATTACAGTTGCTCCCTCAAATGGAGAGACTCCCAGGAGAAGTGAGAAAAAAAGGAACCACTTCAGGCATTGTGCAGACCTCGTATGTTTTATTTAAAGACCTAGTTAGCTCATCTTATCATTATCCCACTCAAGTCCTGAATAGAATGGACTACACCTGCTGCTTTATTTCAAATCCTATCAACGTTGTTATATTCAGAGCTCTTGGCTATTTTTCTCTTCCCTTCACCTCTTGTTTCTTTGCAGTCTCTAAGCTTAACACATAAGGAGCCATAAGTAGACTATGAATACCTCCTCATCTTGAACAAGTTAAACTAAGGTGTATTTTTACAAAACGTGGGGAGAATAGCAGAATGATAAGAAACCTGTTCATAGCTGTTAACTTTGTAAGCAGTCAAAAAACAGATGTTTGTGGCCTCCTTAGAAAGCCTGTTATTGTCTAATTCTATGTCATAACCTTTGGATTTATGTATGACATTTGATATGAGGGAGCACAAAAAACAACATGAGAGATTAAAACAGAAAGCTTGAGGCCATTCCCCTGTGATCACTTGGCTAGAAGAGAACGGTATTATTGCCGCTATAATATGCAGTACGAACAACAGTTGGCACAGATAAAATGAAATTAAACAAACTCATGGTACGGTTAAAGGGCTAATGTACAATAAAGTGTGGTACCTTGCTGTCACCAAGTCCACAGAATAGTCACGGAACGCCATCAGTCTGTAAATTTCTTATTTGACAGTGCAGGAAAGTTTTCCTCCAACCAATCAAACTAAGCACGTTAAGAATGGTCAACTTATCCATGACTTTGTATACATTATGCTTTGGTCAAAAAGAGAAAGACTGCATTATCCCACAACAAACAATCCAGGCGTTGTATATACGTGCTGCACTGTATCATTTAGAAATTCCCCAGGACATTTTTTTAAGTATGCAAATTAGGACATGTATGGGAAAAAGACAATGTCTGGTCACCCTTACATATTAACAATTTGATGTTTCAGTGAGTGCTTGTTGCTATGATGCGTCTTTGCTCAGCAGCTTTGTTTGTTTTAAACCAACCAATCAGCGCATAGATCATCTAAACGCATTAATGCATTCTCACTATTTTAAACAAAGTCCCAAACTGACAGGATACTATGCACCCTATTGGTGAGAAAATAAGGAGGAAAGACAACTATAAAGAAATAAGAGACAAATCTAAATGCAAGAAAAATAACAACCTAAACAGGTCTAACCAACATTATATAAAATGCAGATTTGATCCCTCTAGAGAGTACATGCAAAACGGTCAAATAACTTTCTTTACTTGGCTGCATATGGTTAAGAAGATGACTAAATGCTTTCCCACTGGCAAAAAATTACATTTGTTTGACAGTAGTATTATTATACATGAACTTGACTATTGTTTATTTAAAGAAAAAAAATCCTTGTTTTTTAAATATTAGAATTTTCTTAAAATGTCTTAAGATTATACTGCTCAAATAAAATATGAATATGTTTATTCTTTTGAAGATAAATGTAATTAATAGAAGACTGCTCATAAAGAAAACGTACAGTATGACAGGACCAACAAATAGCATGAAAACATTATTGGCAAACAATATCTTCAGTAAAAGGCTTTTGTTCATCAAAACACGTTTTTTTTTTTTAAGTAAAACTGAAACATCTCTAATCAAGGATTATCAGGAAAACAATATTTATCAACAATTCTCAAAGGAAAGCTATGATTTGAAAAATACAATGTAAATCTAACCATTGCAATTAAATGTGTTTTTAAGAAATGTGCAATTTCACTACCATTTTTAATGAAACTTCATACAAAATTGCTATATGGATAAAAAAAAAAAAAAATTTTACTTCTAAATGTATCTGGATGGCTATAAAGTAACAGAGGCTTACAAATTAGTATTAGGTGAAGAAATTAAACTTTCGGTTATTTTTTTAGATAGAATATTCTATTCTAGAAATAGCAAAAAAAAAACACCGACAAAATAAGAACAGATTAATGAAATTCTCCAAAACATTCACCTTTCTCGTCAGGCATAATGAGGTATGACCTGAATGAGATGTATATCAGAAGACATAACACATGGTATGCAACACATAACAACAGCACCTTGATTCAGTGCGTTACATGGGGCATCTGTCAGCTGAGATGCTGTGATTCTAGAATGAACCTGAGGGGATAATTTCCTCATTCCCTGGCATTTCACAACCAGCTCTGCTCTTCCACACCATCTGTCAATGCCACTGACATGCACATTTAACTGTTCCATGCAGATGTAGGCCAGGTCATACTGGTGATGACTGAAATCAAGGATCTGGGTGATTGAAACATGATGCCATGCTAGGTTTTTTTTTTTTTTTATATAGTAATGCTGATACAGTGAACAAAATCAAAGCAGAAAGCCAAAAAAGGACAGTACTCCAGTACAGGAACAATAGTTTTAAAGCATGGGGAGGAGAAATAATTTTCACCACAGTGGGGCTTTGCAGCTAATCAATATGTTACAAAAGAAAAATAGAAAGCCCACTGATTGCATGGCAGGTGGGAAAGAGAGCTATGAATATCAAAACTGTGTGCATGTCCTGGTTCTACTCTGTCATGTCCCCTGCCTGCTGTGAGAGCATGCAGAAGCCTGAGAAAATGAGTAACAATTAGAAATTGACAACATTGTGATGGCCTTGGGAATAAGCATTTAAAAACCCATGCTGAGCTTTGTGTAGTTCGTCTGAGCCTCCGGCACTTCTTTTTCAGAGTCTTGCTATTGTGTTTCTTTCCCAAACGCCCTCCTGCAAATCTGTTCAATTACACCAGACTTTATTGAATGTGAGGCAGATTCACTTACATGAGGCCTCTAAGAGTTTGTGTGCAGCATAGGGAGATGGGCTTACCTTAAACAGACCATGCTTGTGGCTGTGTTGCCCAAGCCACACTCCACTGCCCAAGGTAAGCTCCATCTGAGGGGGGTCTATCACCCGCTCATAAATCCTGCCAAAAACAAAGCAGAAAGGGCTGTTACTGACATATGCACAGAGACATTTACTGCTCTGACAGGAACACTGATCCAATACAGCAGAGCACCAGGATGAATCCAACAGAATATGCTCATGTCTGTTTGTTTCTTCTCGCCTCTTCCTTTTATGAGAAGGGGGGCTGAGGCCGGTCTTCCTAAGCATGACAGCAATTCTCACCCCGCAGCTCTACCACAGTATTATCATCTGGACCCAGGATATATGGTGGATTAACCACCCAATTCCTGACAGAAATACAAAAAGGCTTTAGCATTATTAAACTAAGCATCCCAAGGGTGATGCAGCGCCATTGTTTTCTACACTAAGACAAGCTTAATAATGCAGTATTTGCCAGGATTTGTCCTTACTTCCAACACTGAGCAGAACAGATCCTATATTTGAGGATCATTCTGCTTTGGCTTAACGTTTTAACCATATAACACATATGAGCAACCTCTGTTGTGTTTACAACATGAATTTGTGCCATTTTACATGGATCTTTATAAGTTTGGTATTCAGCCAAAATAAACATATAAACTTTAGAGGGTAGAAACTGAGAACACTAAGCCAGAGATGTGAGCAGCTAAACATCAAATGACTCAGGCTCATGCTCACAGTATAATTTAAAATGGCCAAAACTGAAAAGAAAACACAACAAAAAAGCTCAAATTATATGGTCAAATAACTGTCAGACTAAGAAACAAATCTGCTTAATCTTTCCTGAGGCCTTTTTAAATAATTTGCCAACCACAGAGTATCATTGTTACTTCCATAGCCATTCTATCTTTCACATTTTTTTCTCTTTGCATTCAACCCTTTTTAGTGTGACACATTGATTGGCAGAACACAAAAACAGTGTGCAAAAAAACCGCAGCAAGACCAAACTTTACTTGCTCAAGTGTGGACCAGTGGAAATGTTTGAGAAAACAAAAGTAATTGAGTCTAGCTCCTTTTGCCATTTTTTAGATTTGTAGTTTTGGCAACTGACTAATAAGGTATAAAATGTGCTTTTTAAAGCAGGATCTTTCACACTGACAACACATGAATTTGTATCTAACTTGAGCATATTTTACTTCTGCTTTGACAACCAATGATTTAAGTAAACACAGTTAAACTACTCACAGTTGACACTACCACATTCAAATTGTGGTTTGTGATTTAGACAAAAATATATATTTTGACAGGAGAAAGGCTTTGATTAGAGGTCATGAGCTCCCATATCTCATAGATGTTGAGAGAAGGAAAAAGGAAAAAGAATCACCATCAATGGAACTATGGTGAAAAGAGAAAGTTCCAGGAACTACATCAAATAAAAACAGATCTTATGTGCCTAATTCTTCAGAAAATAAATAAAATACTACATAAGATAAATTGATAGCAAAGTCATTTGAAGTGTAAGCTAAAAAATAATGAGTAAAAGTTGAGAGGAGTGAGCAGAAACGGGTCCACAAGCGAGGATAAGGGAGGATGCAGGCGCGTAGAAATAAAGCGACAGAGAAGGAGGAGCAAGTACTCCTGTGTGATATATTGGGGCCCCGTGGTGCTCGATTTGTACATATAAAACTTTAAACATGTGCATGAGGAGTAGTTTATGTGCATTTTTATAAAACTGCTCATAGGAGTAGTTATTGCATGTGTTACGCCATACGTAATGCTGAAGTATTTAGAGTTTATAATAAGTAGTAAATGGTTCAATTTAAATATTTGTGTGTATTAGTGGCTGTTGTATATACTGTATAGATGGATAAATGAGCTGGACCTTGAATCCAAAGAACTCATTCCCCCCTTTATCCACCAGGCTTCTTAGGAGCTTACACTTCTCTGTAAGGAAGTATTCCTCATGTTTATTATGAAGTTCATTGCAAGCTGCTGATAAATCATATTTCTACTATCATTTTTGCACATTTCTTTAATTGCTGGTGTGGAATCCAATTTTCTGTCAGTTCCTATCTGTTTGTTTTTCTTTGTATAATTACCACTCTTGTTTAATTATACATACACAGTAATTTATATTCCACAATAGACAGCAAGTAAAATAATATGTACAATAGTTTATTTAGGTATTTGGTTATCTTTGAAAAATTTCTTGTACCAAGCAGTGTTAAAAAGTGAAACATCTATTTTTAAACTCTTGCTGTTACATAGTTCAAATATCTTTAAGCTTTCACTTTCAAATTTATTATCCAAAAGTACAAGTTGCGGTATGTATGATAGGATAGGATTTCTCTAAGTTGTTCAACACTTCAAAGATTTTGGAGCTGAGGCTGGTTATAAGGGTTTTCAAGTAATATCTTAAACATAAACATATCAGTTACTATACATGAGTGAATGCAGCATAATAGATATTTATTTCCTGATATTTCTTTTCAGGCAAAAAAAAAGGTAATATATTTTAATTGTATCTGAACAGGTAAACAATGAATGTAAGCAGAAAAGTACTTTAGAAACACTTCCCTTGTGAGGAAAAATTAATATCACTAACTTGAATGTGGTCCCAATAAAAGCCTTGAGTGGGTAACATCCATCAACAGTGACCCAATATTAGTTTGTGTTTGTTTGTGTTGACTTTCTTCAACAAAAATAGCTAATTACCTGCACATTTGGGAATGTAGTATAAAGTCCTTCTACAAAATTGGTTTCAAAAATATTTAATTACAGCAGAACTGAATCAGTATATACACGATTTACCTTTCCAAACTTTATAAAATGTATGTTTAAACTTTGAATTTCTCAGTTTAAATTACTTTAGTTTGCCAATTGTCAAAACGAAAACCTAGAATTTCAATGTCAACAAACTGTTATACATCATATTGAGCAGCATGACAGTTTAAATAATTAAATAACAGCTGCTAATCTACAAAGCTTGACAACCTACTGTAACAGAATAAACTGAGCCAGAAGGCCTAAGACAGTCTAAATAAGCGTCAAGCAGTAAAATGGAAGTATCCAACAATGATAAACACAGGAGTAAGCAAGTGAGAGGTGAGTATCAGTGATTGATAGATCGATATGGGTGGTTGAATTGCAGAGAGAGAGAGAGAATTCTAGAAATAGAGAGCTTAGCATGGAAAAAGGAGAGAGCAATGTAAAGAAGTGAACATAATTCCATAAAAAACAAAGAACAAGAGTAACATACAAGATTAAAAGCAAAGGAAAATAACTACTGAGGTAAAATCCATCTAACAATCAAGACTCATTGATATGATCAAGAACAAAAACACAATGAAACACAAGCCTGTAATCAAACACCTCAGGCTATAAAATTTTGTGGTTCATCTTGGTGTGATTTCCAGTTTTAATTTGAGTCACTGTTCAGAATTTTGTACCATCATTGTTCTACCTCTTAAATGTTTTTGTTAATGTCTTTTGTCTCTCTTAATCAGTATTCTGGTAGTATGATTTTTTTTTAAATAAATTTTTCATTGCATTGTTTTTTACCCTTAAGTGTTCCTTTTTACTTTTAAGAATTTACTTTTTATTTTTGCCATTCCTATGGCCAAGAACACGGTGGCAAAGCTGGACTGTCTGTAGGGAATTCCTGTCAAACTCCAAAGACATGCATATCATGCGGACTTTTCTTCCCTGCACTTGTATTTCTGTATTTAGATAGACTGGAAACCTGTCCAGAATTCACTGAGACCTGGGATAGGCTTCATCCGCCATCTGAATTTGAAAACGGCTAAGAGACTCGAGAAAGCAGATAGATGGTTTGCATTTATAACAATAATAATTGTTTTAAGAAAATACAGAGTTCTTGGATGAATGCATGGAAAAAAATCAATAGATGAATGTGCCAAAATGTTCTTCAAGTGAAAACACAAACAAAACAGAAGTAATATTTTTGGACCAAAGAAGAACCAAACAAAAGTTAGCACACAGATTCAGTTATTACAGCTAGAGAACACTGAGCACAACCTTGAGCACCGGATATAGCCATCTGAAGAATGAATAATGTCTCAGCCGGATCTTGCTCTTTGTGCTCATTTCTATCTGGACGTATTTACTAAAAACAATGTCTTCAAAGGTCGGCCAAAAAAAGTTGATCCAGGATGCTGCTGCCAGTGCCCTCACTAAAACTAAGAAAGTGAGGTACATCACTGAAGTTTAAATTTTATACACCTTTTCCATTTTTCTTAAATAATATTGTTTAAAATACCCCTACTAATTTATGAATCACTAAATGGATTGCCTAAACTGCCTATACCATTCAGTTCTAGCTGCTCATGTTTTATTAGCCTTATATCTTTAACAAAGTAACCTTTATTCAGTCTTGCGCAGAACATTATTTTAGTTCACAGATGTTAGTTTGTATTTGTATGTTCAAAGTTACATAAAAAAGGATTTAATCCAATTTAAGTCCCAACTTTGATGACATTAATGCTCTACTTGATTGTTTACAACTTTAAAGTCAACCAAATAACTGAAAAATGTCTAGACCTGTTGTTTTTTGTTGTTTCTTATACTAAATAATACAATGTTTGGTATTTTCCTTATTCTGACATAACATATGCCATTTGGTTTGTTCATGCTCCAATTTGTAACCTCTATCCTATCTCTGTTAAACTCCAACAAGGTTTCTATTAATATATATACAACATTTGTTTTTAACCTTTGGAAAGGAAAATCAACTCCTAACTTCCCTTTTTACTGTTCTTTTCTCCAATTGCTGTAATAAAACGGTACTTTATTTTTCGTGACAGAAGTTCAGCTCTTTGGGTTTGTATTGTACAAGGTGTAAAAACTGTGGTGGTTTAACTTTGTCCATGCTGCAACAAGAATCTAGAAACCGGCGGGTGGGATAATGTATCCTAACTTTCATGAATATTTCATAAGTATTGATCATGATTAGCAAACTTCAAATGGGTATCTCTATGAAAATCCTTTTTATTTTGAACACAATTTAATTTTAATTACAGTGCATATATTCCCACATACACATTGATTGTTAAATAAAAAACTTTCCATTAGAAGAAAGTT